CTGTTTTCTCACACTGAAACTTTTGTATTTAGGTGCTAAGATAATATTTATTTTTTAAAAACGCAAAACTCCTGCGACAAGTATTTAATAACATCCTTCAAAAATATTCAAGAAACTGGGGTCAAAAGCAAAAAAGCAGATCGTGTAATAATTTATTTTCAGGATGAATGCAAATAAATGTTCACCTGTAAAAATCTAATGCTTGTTTATGTTCTCATATGCATACATTTATTTAGTATAGTTTATTTTCGGAAATATTCTAACTCATGAATGCATACTTGGATTTATAGTGTTAATGGTGTTTCTGTTAATACCATACCATACCAATTTATTTCTAAAGCACTTAAAATACAGCAAGCAGCCATCCGAAGTGCTGTACAAAATTAAAAACAAACAAAAAAACAGTAAAACAGTAAAAACATCTAAATATAACAGGAGCATGACTGTAGAAATAATAAGCAAAGTGGTAAAAGCTGGCAAACACACAGCCTGCAATAGGACGGTGCCCTGGTGTGGCTTTATGTCTACCAACACCCATGTTCCTGGGAAATACCCTCCTAATAAAAGTAAATAGATCCCTCATTGCCACAAAGGTATTTTATAAAATTAATTGAATTAAGCAGGGTGGCATGTAATTTCTGTTGATTAAAAAAAAAGTCTCCAGCAAACACAGAATTGACTTTTGTGTATAAACATTTCCTCTGAACTACAAAATCACAATCTTGAATTCCTTATTCCTCCTAGGAATTAACTGGCTCTCTATATTTAGTCAGCGGGACTGGAGTGCTGAAGACAAACAGAAACAGACCTTCAGTTCTTGGCATATATGAAGTTTTTTTTTTTGTTTTAAAAAAGAAGAAAAAGTTACAATAGTGTCTGCAGCATCTGAAAAAGTATTAATAAAATAACAAGCTGAATAATATAAATTGTTTTCTATTTGCCTTGCACATACTGTAGATTTTAAAAAAAAGGACTGAAGTTCTGACTGAAGTTTTGCTCCATCGCTATCCCAGGAATGTAAATTCAGTGATAAACTGAAGCCAAGTATGAACGTTACGTACACAAGGATGTGACTCTGCATCGAACATTTACAGTAAAACGGCTGCGTCTATTATCCTGTCTTCTTTACAGAATAAATTTGAAGCATTACATAAATAACTTGAAAACAGGCTCATTTGTTACTATAATAGTCCTGACTGCTTAAGAAACTGTCTTGCTGGTTACCACTGGGATTTACTGCAGTCTGCGTCAAAACTGTGTATATTTATACAAAAATCATATATTGTATACATTTTGCAGCTCTAATATAAATATAGATAGACTTTGTGAGAATTGATAAAGATAATAAATAAATGTCAATATAAGGAAAGAAGCACGTCTTCTTATTAACTGCATTTCTTGAAGCCATTGTTGTAAAGAAATACAAATTTTAACAAAACAGCAAAGAAAAACAAAACAAAATGAAGTTCTAAAGTCTCGTTATTTTAATCTGTAGACATTTGTAATCTCTTTTTTCAGGCTATCAGTGATGGTTAGGTTTATAACAAATTCAGTTCAATTCAGTTTATAGGAAAAAACGTGTACAAACAAATATATAAAAGCAAACAAGCCTCGCCACAATTAAACTGTTTTCAATAAAGAAGCTTCAATAGTTCCTATCACTGACAACATTCATACAAAGCTAATTATAAGAAATCACTTGTTTTAGTTTCAGATGAACCAATCTGTTGCCATCGAGTTGTGTTGAGTAATTCAGTTTTGAACACAAGACAACACACTTAGTATTAAAGACATTTATTACCAGTTTCCAAACTACAGTATTAATGAATTACTGCATTAATTATGAACAAGTCACACAAAGACTGCATGTTTCATAGTTTGAACTGTAAAACCAGAAATTACATCAAATTGTTTCAACGTCAAAATGATCCCTCTTTCTGTTCATAATCTAGATCCATTAAAACACATCTGACCTGTTGGTTTAGTGGTGAAAATAAAAAAGAACTTTATTTACAATCTGGTAACACTTCTCTACAAGGACAGCTTGGAGTTTTGCAGGATATTTTCCTCTTATGGCTTCTCTCACAAACAGGCTTCTCTTTTATTTCAAGGTTCTAAAAAAACATTAACAAAAACAAAACAGAGCAAAAGATTACTTTTATCAAATGTGAGTCGCTTGTAAAGTTTGATTCTAGTTCAAAAAGGTGCCATATTTACTTCCCACCGTGCCACTTGTCACAGGTCAAACCTCTGTGGACTTAATATCTGTGCTCTGAGCCTGAAATAAAAATAATCATAGTTTAGTATAAACCAGAAACTGCATCTAACTGTCAAAGGATTTTAGTATTTTTAACAATTAACATCAAGGGGACAGTCCATTTAAAAGCCGTCTATGGAACCTTGCAGAAAGGCGTATCCGTGTTCTGGTGTTTGTTTTGAAGCGTAGGTGCAACTTGTGGTTGGTGTTCCCCCGCAGATCCTGGCACAGCGTCTGGTTTTGGGATGCCGGGGGAGGCTTCAGAGGCCTGAGCAGCCCCGACCTCTTTGACGGTGATTATCGAGGCGCAGACGGAGGCGTTGTCCTCCATTTCTCCCACAGCTGAGTGGTAGCTGTGGCTGGAGCTGCTGAAGCCGCTCACACTCTCTCCTGAAGACTCGGAGCTGTCTACTGGAGCAAAGAGAAGACATTGTGGAGATAAGAAAGCATGCACAGTATCGGTAACACGCTTTACTCCTGAAATAAACTTGAGCTTCAGAGGTGTTTACCCAGACTGACCTTTGACCCCCAAGTTTTATAGAGGAAGTGTCATCAGGTTTGAAATATAACTCCCTGAGAGCCTACAAACACACCAGCAGGAGGAGGCCTCTGCAGATACTGATACTTCCTCTTCAGCAGATTCATGCGCTCCATTTAAAAACAATGGAAAAACTTTGACTCACACAATAAGTTCTGGTGTCCGCTCTCCTGGTCCGTGTCGTCCTCCTCCAGAGCGCCGGGGGGCGACACGTATCCTGGAAGACCCGCTGAAACCACCCTCCTCTTCGGCCCACGCTCGTATCCGACAGGGGACATGGAGCCTCGACCAGAGGAAGAGGAGGATGAAGAGCTACTGCCTGAACCAACCGATTTTGGTCGGCCTGCTGGGAGCTCACCGTGTGACCCGCACGACCTCACAGAGGGCAGCAGCTTGGTTTCTGCAAAGAGCAAGGGACATGAGATGGAGTACAGCTAAGTAAAAAATACTCAAATACTGTGTAAAACAGGTCAATGTGTACCTCTTCCCATCAGCACACAGTTGATGGCTCTGTCACTGATAGCTGCCTCACTGGGCTGGATGTCCATGAACGGCTTGTTTCCAATTCCCAGGAACACTCTCTCCTGCATGCGAACCTCTTAAAACACATCAGTGGAGAAATATTTGAGGCTGACGTGACATCACACATTTACCGAACAGAAAAGTTCACATTTAAATCCCCGACTTTACAAAGTGCTGAATGTTTTCACAGAACAGACTCTGGGAGGCTCTGTTTGATTGGGGTCAGCTGTTTGTGTTGGAATTTAATTATGCATCCTCATAAGGGTATCGTTATTTATCACATCTGCACACAAAGTTGGGCTTCAAAATATATATATATATATATATATATACGTATATACAAATAACTCACATTCATTTTGATCATACCTCTGTTGTGTATGGCCTGCTCCCACAGGATCCGCTCCAAGTCCTTGGTCCAGGCCTCCTTCGCCTCCCGGCTGCCTGCCTGCAGCGTGTACGTGTCCTGGCTTTTCCTCTTTCTGAACCAGATCTCAAAGCACAAGCCGCTGTCTCCGCTGTTCTGGGTCATGCCTATATCACACGTCTGCTGAGAGACACACATAGACCGGGGTCAGCGGTGTGAAATGAGTGAGTTCATTAAAATACAGACAGGAGTCCATGACTGCTTTAAATGAAGTGAGCAAGAGAGGTCCGTGAAATGTTTGACTGAAAAACAAAATAAAAATCAAAGATATTATTAAAAAACACTAATACAGCAATTGCAAGAAGATCGTTACTCTATTTTTGAGTTAATCCGTTTATCGTTGTAGACAAAGGGAATGGTTCTGCATGGGTCTGTTTGTTTGCAGCATAAGCAGAACATACTGGGAACCACTGGATGGATTTCAATAAAACTTTCAAACTCACCACCTTTAGGAGTTACTCTGTCACACATGTCAAACTGAAGGCCCGAGGGACAAACATGGCACTTGTTACCATCTTTTCTGGCCCCTATGATTTATATTTTTTTATGTAAAATATTAGGCCTCAGCCTGAACCGGTCCGACCCAAAATTTGGACCAGATCGGGTCAAAACGATGTGCTTAATGACAACAAAGTCCATGCTCAATAATCCAGGTATAAAATCCAACATTTTTCAGTCAGGTCATCTGGACAGTTTCTTTTTTTATTTTTTTGTGCTGAAACGTTTCGCCTTCGATCCAGAAGGCTTCATCAGTCAAGGAAACACACAACAAAACTGATTCTTCCCCCAACAGCTTACTCTAAAGTGGAACAAACCAGTTCTGCTGGTGATAAGATGAAAAAGAAACCGTCCAGATGACCTGACTGAAAAATGTTGGATGTGCTTGATGAGCGGGCCGGGTCTGGTCAGGCTTTGATGTGGTTTTAGAAGTGACAGCATTTTTTTTCTTGGGTGCATAACTGCCAAGGAGGATCAGGTGTGAGGTCGTTACCCTGGATTACCTGTGGATTACCTGTGGATTACCTGTGGATTACTCTTCACCCTGAGTTTGGGTTGTGGTGGATTGTTATTTTTTCTTACTGCCTATGGACAGTGAGATCTGGCGAGATCATTTCTTTTTATTTCAGCGCGCCGATGCCTATACTGAGTGGGCGTTTCCTTCATCCTCCTTCAAAGCAAACTTTCCTTCAGAGGATAGTTGGATTGAAAGTTTGATCAACTTCTTGTTTTCTGTTTATGGGGTTTATGGGATTTCATGTGTTGATATGGAAATGTTGTGGGATGAAGCATTTGTGGGGTTTGTGTGGCATAACTGATGGCTTGATTAAATTGTGTTAACTGCCTTAAATGTTATCCTTCGTGACCAATCTATTATTAATTGATTTATGAGAGCTTTTTGCCTGTGCGGGTAAATTATTTTCTGTTTACTGTACTTGGTTATTCCTACACCGCAACTAATATATATTTTTTGCTCTGTCAGCTCCAGGCACTACCCATGACTTAATTAGTGTTTTATGTAATTAATTCCCATTTTACCTTATATTTAGGGGCGGGTTGTTACCCATGGACAATCGGATCACCAGCCGCGCGTGTCCGCTGACCGTTAATAACTATAATATTATAATAATTATAATAATCTTCTGACTCTTGCTAATAAACAAGAAATCTTATATTTGGAATGTTTTTAAAACTATCGTGTCAAACTGATTTGCTTACAAAAGCAGTAAAAGCTTAATAAAAAAAAATAAAATAATATATATATATATATATATATATATATATATAGACATATATATATATATATATATATATATATATATATATATAGGCAGCACAGTGGCGCAACTGGTAGAGCTGCTGCCTCTCAGCGAACAGGTCCCTGGTTCAAACCCTGGTCCAGGGGCCCTCTGGGTGGAGTTTGCATGTTCTCTCCGTGCATGCGTGGGTTTTCTCCGGGTACTCCAGTTTCCTCCCACAGACCAAAAACATGCATGTTAGGCTGATTGGTAACTCTAAATTGTCCCTAGGTGTGAGTGAGAGAGTGAATGGTTGTTTGTCTCGTTTGTCTCTATGTGGCCCTGTGATGGACTTGCGACCCATCCAGGGTGTACCCCGCCCCTCGCACAGTGATTGCTGGACATGGGCACCGGCGACCCCCGTGACCCAAAATGGAATAAACGGGTAAAGA